ATGGCATTCGGCAGTATACATGTAGGATAATAATATAGTAAGTACAAGATATGATATTAGTATTCATTTCATTGACAGAACATTTGGCAGCATATGCTTGTAGGATGAAAGTAATTACAAGGTATGATATCGGTTTATGTAAATAATTAACACGACATACCACAGTATCCAAAATTTCGGCACAGTGATGGCTTTTCCTCCCATGATGCTATACACCGACTATCACGAGCTAGTAGGTCGAGCCGTTTAGATTTGTGCCGCAATTCTGCATTTCCTCCCTATCCCTTAAGTTAAGGAGGGAATGTTCCCCGTTCTTTTACACCCATTGACCTTTGACCTGTGACCTCCAATTTCGACACAGCGATGGCTTTTCCTACCATGATGCTGTACACGCGACTATCACGAGCCTATAGGTCAAGCCGTTTAGATTTGTGCCGCAATTCTGCATTTCCTCCCTATACCTTAAGTTAAGGAGGGAATGTTCCCCCTTCTTTTACACCTCTTGACCTTTGACCTGTGACCTCCAATTTCGGCACAGTGATGGCTTTTCCTACCATGATGCTATACACCGACTATCACGAGCCTATAGGTCGAGCCGTTTAGATTTGTGCCGCAATTCTGCATTTCCTCCCTATACCTTAAGTTAAGGAGGGAATGTTCCCCCTTCTTTTACACCTCTTGACCTTTGACCTTTGACCCCCATCTTCGACATCCCAACTCGTTTTCAGATTACCCCCCCACGCCCCCAATATTGTGACCGTACGTCGAGCGGTTAAGATTTGTGCCCAACTGTTGACGGACGGACGAACGCACGGACGCACGGACGCACGGACAATCATGCGATTCTACAAGCTACATCTGACTATGTCAGATGAGCTAAAAATGAGTGAGATTTATTTTGAATCAGAAAATCTAAGGCCGAAGGGGGGGTGGATGGAGGGACGAAATTTTTTTTTAATGGGGTGCTATTTGATGCCCTCAGCAGCAGTCAGATTAGCAAAATCAGTCGCTGGGTGCGCCACAAGTATTAAATGTCAGGAGTCCCGTGCCTCGTGTCCTGCGTTTTTCGGCAAAGTTCGGCTAGACCCACTCCATGCAACGAAGAAAAACTGGATTCTTGCAATTGCGTGAGATTCTCAGGGACTATCTGAAATGTGAGTGAGAGTGTAAGATTGTGCTGAATTGCGTGAGTCTCACGCCAAAGTTGTGAGGCTTGTGAGCCCTGTATGGTCTAGACTGGAACCCTAGTAGAAGTAGAAACAAGTTTTCCTTTTGAACACAGGCACTTAATTGGAACGTTTCAATAGTGAACTGATGGTAAATAAACACGAAATGTATTTAATTATTACCAAAGTTTTAATGTTCAGAGTAGCTATATGCCCGGCAGCTGGCATATATATATCTGACGGCTGCCGGGCACGGTCTTCGATTTCTTAAATGCCCGGCAGTTTTTAATTTTCAGCGTTATCTCAAGTAAACAAGGGTTAGGGTTAGGGTTAGGGTTAGGGTTAGGAACTGACGGGCATTTAGGAAATCGAAGACCGTGCCCGGCTGCTGGAGCGTTGAATGTTTTTCTACTCCCTTGCGCCTATTATTGCCGATAACTTCCTGTAAATGCCGTTCATATGCTCCTCTGCAACACATGAGTACGCCGCACGCACGCTGCTATGCACAAATAACAAAGAGAATATAGAGGAGCTATTCTTGTTGTTGTTGTTGTTGGTGTTGTTCTTTGTACAGCGGCGTGCGTGCGGTGTACTTGTGTCGCAGAGGAGCCTTTGAACGGCACTTACAGGAAATTATCGGCAATAATAGGCGAAAGAGAGTAGAGAAACATTAAGACTTTGGTAATAAAAACATTTCGTGTTTATTTACCATATTTTTTTAGTGTGCTTTTATCAGTTTTGAAGCCGATGAAGGGTTTCGCAGGTGATTACAAAACCTGTTTCTAGGGGGCGGGTTTGTAACTTTGTTATCGTATTTAAAACAACGTGTCTATCAGCATTACTGGGGCATAATGATCCCTACTGCTTATAGTACTATCATTAAATATGTTGTGCAACCCGTAATACCTACAGGGCCTAATTTTGATTACAGCAGCTGCTTTACTGCTTACTGCAGATTTGCTGCAGATTGCGACGACAATCCAGAATCACGCCGATACGACCGGTCACCTGCTGTACGCCGGCGATCACCGCCGCTACCGCGAGTTCACGCGTGGCGCGAGCGATTTGCAATGGCGGAGTTATTGCTTGATCCCGATATTAGATTATGGGTTGTTTTGCCTATTGTGATAATAACATTTCTTATTGGAATTGTTCGCCATCATGCGACGATACTCTTTTCATCTGCAAAGAAAGTAGAGCTACAACAAGTAACAGATAGGTAGGTGATTTTCAGTTGTAGGTTTGAGTTATTTCGCAAAGAAATGGTTTCACAACACTCAACAGTACGGTTCAAGGATAGAGAACATGGGTCCCAATAAAACCAATGTCATTGTCCTGAGGCTGAGTAGGGTTCATACTCAGTCATAGGCATTAGGCATACTCATACTTCATAGGGTCTAGGTCCCCCAGGGTACTGCCGGAACGTACCCTGGCAACTATCTGATAGTGATATGGTTAGGGTTAGGGAGTAAGCGTAGGCGACTCCCTAGACTCGTTAGTGGAGTAGGCGAGGTACGGTCCGGCATATTATTATTAGGTACGCAGTAACCAGGGTACGTTCCGGTATATACCGGACCGTACCCAGGGTACGTTCCGGCAGTACCCCGGGGGACATAGACCCTCTCAGCGCTAGTGAACACGATTAGGTGAGTATCACGTTGATTTATATGCTCTGGTACCAGGGTACGTTCCGGTATACCGGACCGTACCCAGGCAGGGTACGTTCCGGCAGTACCATGGGGGACATAGACCCTCTCAGCGTAGGCCTGTACCGTAACCATAGTATTTGGACGCTCGCCCGAAACTGGACGCTCCTAAGTGCGCATGCGCGCATGCTCTTGTTTTTCTCTTGTTTCTTTTTGTTTTAATCTTGTTTTGCAGGGCCGTAGGAAATATTAGCCATGCTCTTTTGTTTTCTTTTTGTTTCGCCTTGTAACCTGACACACATAACACAGTCTTACTAACTTACTACATTACAAATTGTTTCAATCAAATGTTTCCATGAGTGACGTGGTTGGCCGCCATGTTTGTTTATTGCAACCGTTTTCGATGGGCGAGATGCGCAGATGACTACTGCGCATGCTGCGCATGCGCCCTTGCAAAACAAGAGGCACCTGCGTGCATGCGCACTTAGGAGCGTCCAGTTTCGAGCGAGCGTCCAAATACTACGATACAGGCCTACCGTATGTTCCATGATTCACTTACAATATTCAATAACTATAGCCTGGGTTCTTCTTATTGACAAACGAATTTAAGGCCAGAATCGACCGATTCATGAAAATCACCAGATATGGGTGCACATTAGGCTAGGCCTATTTAGTATTGCTCATAGGGTCTATATCCCCCAGGGTACTGCCGGAACGTACCCTGGGTACGGTCCGGTATACCGGAACTTACCCTGGTAACTATCTGATAGGGTTAGGGAGTAGGCGTAGGCGACTCCCTAGACTCGTTTAATAGTAGAGTAGGCGAGGTACGGTCCGGCATATTAGATAGTACCAGGGTACGTTCCGGCAGTACCCTGGGGGACATAGACCCTCTCAGCATTAGTACTAGTACTATTACTACCCATTATCTAACTAACTAAACTATAACTAACTTCTGTGTTTTGCAGCCAAGCAATGATACGGAGTCGTTTGTTACGAGAGAATGGCAAGTACCTTCCAAAAGAAAGCTTTTTGATGCGTAAGAACTTCTTCAACAATGAGGAAACTGGATTTTTCAAAACTCAAAAGAGAGCTGCTCCAGCTCAGAATCCAATGACAGGTAGGTACACAGGGCCCTAGCTAGGATTTTTTTTTCTGTAGCCAAACAATTAGCCAGAATCAATTTTCATTAGCCAATTTGGATTCCTGTTAGCCACATCTTGTAGCCTAACATTTTATGAGCACAAACAGGCGATAAATAATTTTTCTTTTCTTTATTTTTTCACAAACTTTTATATGCATGAAGTACAAAACTACACTTATTTAATGCAAACAAACTATTATTCACCACATGTCTATGACTGAGACACTTATTAACACTATGATTCACCACCATGACTCTGACTGACTGACAGAGACATTCAAATTGTCTGAATTTTTTTTCTTCACTGCTGGCAGGAAAATTCTCCTATCTTTTTTAGCACACCACTGGACATAGCACTTTTCAAAGTCAAACATCTTCTTCTGGGCCTTCAATTTTGATGGTACGGACGACCGGACGGACGGACGATCAAGCGATTCTACAAGCTGCATCTGACTATGTCAGATGAGCTAAAAAGCGAGGTCTTCTGTGAGGCGAGTGACGAAAGTGACAAAATTAACATCTTACAAAAAACAAAGAAGATTAAAAAAAAACAATTAAAATAAACGCAAATATTAAGCGTAAGATCACAGACAGAGGACGATAAAAAGGAAGTGATCGAGTTGCAGAGGAGAGGTGTCGATGGGAGTAGGGGAAAGAATAAGGGAGAAAAAACAAAAAAATAAAAACTTGAAGGGTTAAATCTCTTCCTATGGGGATTAAGTGAGGGGGTTAATTCCATTTGAATCCTATAGTCGCCACAAGTTTTGTACTTTTGCCGGCAGCAGGCAGCCTCTGAACAAAACTATGAAACTATTGAGAAAACACTAATAACTAGGTGGGTGTGAAGAAAATGTAATAATCATAATGTATATTGGCCAACACACAAGCGTTTCAGACAAACCCTACACTTGCGTTGGTGTAGGGATAGCTACTAGTTGTAGGGGGGGGGGGGCAACGTGTAACGGTCAGGATCAACGCCTCCTTTGCGGGACGCCTCTAGTAACTGGTGTCTTCTGGATAAGTAATATAACCTAACGAAAGGGCCCAAGCAGAGTTTAGGACGTTTTGAAAACAGATTTTTTGCACATATAAAATGATATACGCACGCAATCACGCACGCACGCACACACACATATGTATGTATATCTATATATATATATCTGCGATCTCTGTCCGTCCGTCTGTCCGTCTGTCTGTGGACAAGCATATATGGGTATTTTGTTAGTGCCTTAACTTTTCTATGCAATCTGACTGTGCCAGGTTAGGAATGAATTCACAATAACACAGCCATTTCGGATTTTGGATTTTTTGGATTTTCCATTTTTTTGGATTTATACGCAATATCATGTCTGTCTTATTCTCAATTCATTCCTAACCTGGCACAGTCACATTGCATACAACAGTTCAATCACGATGGGCATATAGAGCGCAGGATCCACAGAGAGAGGGAGGGAGGGAGAGAGATCGCAGATATATCCGAAATCCAAAAAAACCCAACAAAATCCAAAAAACCCAAAAAATCCAAAAAATCCAAAAAAATCCAAAAACCCAAAAAATACAAAAAAATACAAAAACCCAAAAAATCCACGTTCGTCACTTTTTTCGCCAAATAAGACTTTCAATCGCCAGATTACTAATTTGTTCGCCATTGGCGAATTGGCGAGTGGGTAGCGAGGGCCCTGGGTACAGTAGTGCAGCATTTAACTCACCAAAGAGTTCGGCAGAGATAATACCAGCGAGGAGCTATACTTACTTGTGCAGCTTCATCTTCGATATCAGTTCTCCCCCAACCACTAGTCTGGCCAGGTTACGAGATGGAGACTAACATCAATAGATATCGTAACTTTGTTTCGATATACGACCGTTTCTTGGAGCTACACTAGTAATTATATGCTATTTATCACATTTTATAATCACACTTGTGCCGTAAGACACAATAGACATGCGGGTCACTGATAACAATTTATATACATTCATGCAAAATTAAAGTAAAAGTTGCATAAATCTATCTTGTGTTTATTGATTCATTTAGACCCAACCATGATGACAGACATGTTGAAGGGGAACCTTACTAATGTTTTACCGATGATTGTCATTGGAGGCTGGATCAACTGGACCTTTTCTGGTTTTGTTACAAGTAAGACATTTAGGTGTTCTATTAGTAGCAGGGGAGCATAGCTCTTGGGGAGTAAGAAAGGTGGTTGGAAATTTTCCCCAAGATCGCCTGGAGAAAGGAATGAATATCCAATAAATGTAAATTACCCTAAATTGGAATTTTGTATTTGCTCTAAGAAATTATTTAGATATGGTATTGGCCCTCAACTGTGACTGCAATTGTATATCTTTTGCATATACTAAAAAGTTTGTGGTGCATGGTTTTACTACATATAACTTGGATGGCTTGGATGAAGTATTCATGTAGTAAGCAGGGTGCAAAATTAACGGGAGTCCGGAGTCAAATACTCCCAGATTTACTGTCGGACTCCCCGATTTGACGTATACAGGATTCCGTGTGGCTCCCTGAAAATTCTGCCATACTACCTAGTTCGTTCCAGAGCACGGCCTCGTGGAAATACTGTATTTTTTCAGCTAATATCCAAAGAAAATTTGACAGACGTGCAACCAGAACTTTAAAATTATTATAAATATAAAACTTATAATATTGTTAATATCTTTACTTTTGTACCTCAGACTGCGGACTCCTTCTTTTTGAAGGTAGGGAGTCCGTTGGACTCCTGTGTTCAAAAGTTAATTTCTACCCCTGTGTAGTGTTATTAATAATTTCATATATGCAATTTGACTAGCTCAATACTTGCATGAAATGGTACTGTATACGCCATATTTTTCGCGTACAGATATTTTTGCGAATTCAGACTTGACGGATAATTTCGCGAATGGTTAATTTGAATTCGCGGTCGGTGAATTCCCGAATCAGTGAAGAACAGCGTGTTGTTATTATCGCGTGTTGTTATATTCGTGGTCGGGGACACGTTCACAAAATTAGTGAAAATTAAACTACCGCGAAATATACAGCATATACAGTATGTCTTTCCCTTCAGCTAAAGTGCCATTCCCGTTAACACTGAGGTTCAAGCCCATGCTCCAAAGAGGAGTCGAACTCGCATCTCTAGATGCCTCATGGTAAGAGTAAATATTATTTACATTGTTATCAGATTAAATGTTATCAGATTAAATGTTATCAGATTAAATGTTATTAATTGTTATCAGATTAAATGTTATCAGATTAAATGTTATCAGATTAAATGTTATTAATTGTTATCAGATTAAATGTTATCAGATTTTTTATGGTAGTCATCAGTTATTGTTTTTAAAGAGGAAAGTTCTCAAATTTCTAAATACCTACTGTGAGCTTGGTTATGTCGAAGAAACACATTTTGACTAATTCCTATTGCTGCCTGCGTAACATTTTTGTACCAGTTCTGTATAATCTTGAGAAAGTGACGTTTTAATACTAAAACCATGCTTACATACATAAGATACTTGAATGTTTTACACTATAAATTGGAAAACCAGGGATAAACTACACATGGAAAAATTTACTCCCATATCACTATGATATATTCTGCTGTGCAATATTTATTACAGGGTAAGCTCTGCGTCTTGGTATTTTCTCAACATATTTGGACTGCGAAGCATGTACACGCTAATTCTGGGACAAGATAACCAGGCAGATCAAACTAAGCAAATGCAGGTATGCTGGTTAATGACATGTGTTGAGGTTACCCATATGGGTAAAAGCTTTGCAGATGCTGGCACACTTGCGTGACTCTGTTGATGATTCACTCTTGTGACAGCTTTCATGTGAAATTACATTGATTTTTCATTTGCATTCTTATTCGATGACTAAGAACTAGGTGCCACCTCTGTACACGCTGTGTTATCTTTTGGCAGAAATAATTTAAAAGCCTTCATTGCCTGTATCATATGTAATTGTCACATGAACTTTTAGTGCATTGTTTAATAGTAAAATATATCGTAATTACACGTAATAAAAAATAGTGAGCCACACGTATGCACATTTCTTGACACACATACCTACATAGTGATGTGTGTATATGCTAATGTATATCCTTAGATGGTGATGTATGATTTGTTTGTAGGACCAGATGTCAGGCGCAGCAATGGCCATGCCTCAAGATCCGAAAGCAGCTTTTAAAGCAGAATGGGAGGCACTGGAGATCACTGACCATCAGTGGGCTTTGCGTAATGTTGAGGATCAACTGATTGCATCTAGTCAAATTAATCCAGAGCCTGTTTTCACAAAGAACAAGTTTGAATGAGAATTCAAGAATAAGACTGGTTGTAAGAGCATGTTCTCACGTCCTGCATTCGACGGCATATGTCAGACACAGAACCAGTTTAGCTACCAGCTTTTATTTCCCAATACTGCAGGCACAAGTCCTGTAACACCTATGTTATCACTTTGTTGTAATGTATCGTCTTTATTCACTAGTATTTTAAACAAGAATGTTGGTTTACTCTACAACGAGTTCCTAAGGACTCTAGTAGTCTTACAATATCAGTTGTTATTATTTAGCATTCTAATTACAATATTATTGTCACAGAGTTGTCCACATAGCAACCAATTTCATATAGTTGTCATAACTATAGCATTATAACCAATGTCATAAACTATCGTAAAAATAAAATAATTTAATGAAGAGTAACAAATGTACATTCAATTACATAACATATCTAGATGTTCAGGTTTAGTAGGATACGTATTCCGTTTTATTTATGCATTCAAGTTTATAATCTAAAAAAGACATGAGAAGCCATTTTGCTATTTACTTTAATTAATATACAGGCAATTGTATTAAAATTAATAATTTAAAAGTAAAGATATATACCATGGGTACAGGATGGGTAAGTATGTAACGATGAAATTAATGTTTTATTAATTACCGTTTACCGTGAATGGCTTTGCGGTAAAGACACAATATACTATTTTTTTTAAAGCATTTTTTAAAAGTATTGAGAATCATTAGATACTAGAGAATGATTTTGCTCATTAGAGGCAAGTCTCATGTGCCAGTTGCCTAATGTTTCAAATAAGTCCATTCTGATTACGAAAAATAAGAAAATTTGTAAAAAGGTGTCTTTACTGCCATTTATCACTTTTCGTTGAAATGGCCTTGATGAGAATGATGAACACCGGGTCGCAAATGAAATGACTCCTCTTGGATTGACCAATAATCTTTTTACCAGTTTCATTTTTAGGCTTATCTCAGTTTAAACACTAGAACATGGATACACTATTATGGGGAGAATATAAAATTCTGTTTGCCAAGTTCACTAAAGCATTATGAAGTAATTTCATCACAAATAGAGGTGGCTTAATCTGGGTTAACCTAATGACGTGACATGCCATGAACTGAGAGAAACATCTAGAACATTAGCACGATAATTGCAGACAAACAAGTCGCTGTGTAGTGTGTTCTTCGTGGCTGGCATATGATTGACTTCTATCGAAAGCGCACACACGAAAAATGATTAAAAACAATGTACATATTTATGAAACACACCGAGCTGGGCAACATTTTCTGCAGCTATCATAAATAAGGCAATTTGTTATAATTTAACTTAAAGCAAGTTAAATTCACAATAAGGTGAATTGTTCTTGAAAAATATCACAAATTGGTAATTGAAAATGATAAAAGACACAAAGGAGAGCAATAATAAGGTAGAAGGCAACAACTACATATTCGTTATATACATAGCACCATGAACATATATAAATGAGAATATATCAGATCATTCTGTTCATGATGATAATTTACTATGAAAAATTGTGCATACTGATTGGTGAAGAATTTCACCAGACCATAGTATAACTTTTGTTACGTCAAAATATTTTCATCTGCCTATGCCATGTGTATATATCATGTAGACTGAGGCCACAATTAAAAAACTCTTTGTTTGCCCTCACCCGACCCAGGCCGAAAAGTTTGGGTAGGTAGGTAAGCTTAAATTGATTTTTTTAGGGGTCTTTTTACAAATTCAGCATGGTGTCTACATACTCGGGTGTGCTTGTGTGGAGATACCTTTTATGTTGAATGTTTGTTTTACTTGGTACATATAATCAGAAGTAGATTGTTCCCTATTATCTACTTCTGATATAATGTATTGCCTACAGATTTATATGATGTACAGTGATACAATTTGTAAAAAAAAAGAATGGGAAAGATCAATAAAAATGTTTGATCGGCCCCTTTTTGGCGGGTCGGGCGAGTGAGGGAAGACAAACAATATTTTTATTACGGCCTGATCGTAATTTTTGTTTTGTTACAAGTCCCTGTGTATCAGATAAGATTCAATACATATGCATTGTTTTACAATTTTAACCTACGTTGCAACATTGAAGAATACGGAGTACATTGCATGATTAGAATGATGACCTCGACTACAGTTTGGCTGGCTTGCTAAAAGCATGTCTACCTGAGATCTCTGTGTACTTGTGTTAACATCTATACAATTACAGTAATAATTAGACTTGCACGCATGCATATACACTAGCAAGCGTGCTCACACACACACACGCACTCGCACGCACGCACGCACACGCACACGCAGACACACACACACACACACACACACACACAAATACTTGTACTTGTGTATTCGTCACATGAACAGAATATATATGTAGATAGATCGATAGATAGATAGACAGACAGACAAACAGACAGACAGACAGACAGACAGACAGATAGATAGATATTACTTCAATGTCAGGGTGCATAATTTCAATTTGCGCAATCCACTCAGTAGCAGGGGGAGTAGATAAGTGCAAGAATACCACGATGTAAGAGGATTATAATTTTTTTTCCATATACCCTAATGACTTGCATTCTAGTCAAACCTTGAAGTACATGTAGATGTTCTGCAATACAGCATATAGATTTTTAGCCTTTCAAATTCTGACGATTTTTTACACATTTACAATCTCTATGTACTTCTAGCCATGGCTAGAGGGGAATGATATAATAATATACCCAATATAATTTCTTGTCGTATGGCCAAATAAAGAAATGGGCATCGCTCCTTTCCTTATAGCCTAGCCATACACATTCACTGATTCAGTAAACAGCCACTGCAATTTCATATAAATCTGAAACCAGTACGTTCTAGAGGTGTTCACTGAGGGGGCAGCCCTATAGACCAAAGGTCCGAGAGACCGAAGGTCCGATACACCGAATGTTGCAAAGGGTTAGAGTTAGAGTTAGGGTTAGGATTAGGGCATATATATGGTTTATAGTGGCATCGGTGGATGTGCGGCATATTCTCCTTCGAATACGGCATTAGTGGATGTCCGGATGCGTAGCCTGAGGCTAGGCGACCGATTCCGGACGTGTAGCCACTGAGTATTCGAATAAACCTTCGGTCTATCGGGCCTTCGGTCTATCGGACCTTCGGTCTATAGGGCTGTAACCGTTCACTGATGGTTAAACTTGCAAATGTATAGATCTTCATTCATCTGCAATGTGCAGAAAACTGACTATAAATTAATTGTCATATATACCCTTCTTGTAACAGTTTACAGACAATACCAAATTAATAACATGCATTTGAATTTTCTATTTTAGGCACAATTCCTATTTGAAAAGTAAAAAAACTACATCTTTTTTGAAAAATCAGTGCACCAAAATGGCAGCTGAATAAACCCCTTGCATGTAAATTGTTTTTTATGCCCCTAACATGCAGACAACTAAGACCAAATCAATACATTCTCTAAAGCCAGCCTTAGGTCAGATTGCGATTGAATGCTGCACGACGCGACGAGCAGGGACTGACACTAGCAGTCGCAGGCAGTCGCAGAAGGCGCTTAAGGCAAAGCGATGATCGCCTATAGATCGCGCATCTAAATGAGTTTACTTTACATGACTTGTTGCTGTGTGCATGTTGTGTACATGGTTATATGCATTGTTTCATTCGCATTGTTCGATTTTATGCATTGTTCATTATACATTCGAATCTCGTCGCAGCGATCGCAAGGCAGCTAATGTCGGGTAAAACAATGCAAGCGACAGGTGGAAGCTAGTCGTGCCGCGTCGCTAAAGTAGTACATGCGCGACTCGCTGTGACTGACCACTTTCCAGTCGCTGAGCATCGCAGACTCGTCGCTGGCAGTCGCAGGAGTGCTTAGGTCGAACTGTCCCTGCGATGCGATCGTCGCACCGAGTTGCAACCAGTTGCATAAAATCAGTCACAGGCAATCGCGTTGCGTCGCAAGGCCGACCTAAGGCCGGCTTTAATTCAAACAATATGAGTGCTTATAAAACCAGTTAAGAAATTGACTACATGTACAAGTGTATGCAGAAGTGTACCAATAACCTACCTCACCAATAGTATTGGAATAATTCCACTACTCGATGGCTCGAGTATCAATGCTAGGAATTGTGCCAAGCAAAATACAATTTAATTATGTTTGCATTGCCAACTAATCTAAAGTGGAAATCAAGATATATTAATTATATTCTTTTACATAAATATTATTCATTATAGCATTTGAGAAGATATTCTGCATTTCCAATGTTCAACCGAAGTCTTTAGCTATATATGAGTAATTCCTGTAGACATATTTGGGGTTTAATGTAGGCCATGCACATGAACACATTCTGTGTTTCACAAATTTGCATACGAATACATATTCAGTGCTTAGCTATTCATCTATGCGAATGAATTCATATTCAGTGCAAACATTATTGCAATTAATTTATGTAACATGATAATTTCTCAATGTAATACTTATGTATATGAATACAATCAGTGCGACTGACAAATGAGGCTAAACTCCTGCAGTTATCATGAAACTTCTTATCATTATGGATTGATTCATGTCCAGTGTGTTTCATGCACATGAATGCATACCAAGTCAAGTGCGATTTATACTTATGAATACGTCGTACCTGTGTGATTCGATCTCATAAGTACAAGTCTAATATGTGGTGCACGTGTAGAAGTTTAACGTGTATCGATCCACGGCACACCCTTTCAGGAGATAATACAGATCTTGATGCCATCGCGCTAAAAATGTTCATCGACAAAACTCCCGGACGATCTGGGCCAACTTACAATCACGTGTGCACCACAGTAGGTGTTACAGGATCACTGCTACGTCTCCGATGTGTACTCTCACCCACGCTTGCTTCCATGGATGCGTTTATGCTCCCGATTCCCTCGTGCAGACTCCGTGTCAGGAGTACACTGCTGTGGAAACCATCTGCATCTAGAAAGCGTAGGTTATTATATTTTAAGTGTAATGATGATATTATAATGATCAACACTGGCAAGTAATAACATATCTGAACTAGCATTAATTACATTAATGCATCAAGTGTTGTCAATTAATATTGTTCAACAGTGGGCAGCCAGATGCACTAATTTGTCTTGAGTGATACGCATGAGGTAAGTAAATTTAGCACTGGATGAGTGTGTAAGAAAGAATGTGGAGAACTGTCAAAAAACCAACACAAATACTTGGTTTAGATCGCAATAACCATAGCCTCAAATGATTGACTGTACTACTGTTTGAGCTAGTGAACGTTGACTTATCGTGTCCGCCATAGCTTTAAACTGATCGCCCAAATCAGACACACAATCAGAAACACAGAGACTTGTATTACCAGGGGTTGATATATGACAAATTTGTCATTATTAACCCCTGGTATTACTAAGTGAATGTAATTTAACTTTAACCAAAATTACCATCATATTGCAGAGACGGACTGCCATGTACGTCAAAATGAGTGCTTTCATACATGGCTGAGTTCCCGTGGAAAATGATGTCAGAGTCGGTCTTAGTAGAGGAGTAAGAATGCTGTGGTAGGCTCACTGTATCATCTTCAGCCAGTTCGTCCTGCTGGGCCTTGTAGGAGAAAAGGATTGTAGGTGGCGGCGTGGACCTGTAAGATAGACGTCACAAGAAACGTCGGTTATGTGTCCATAATTTAGAACATTATTCTTCATAGTGAATCTAAGTATATGTCTCTGGCCGTACCACTGATATACGAAGATACCTTTCTTGAAGAAACACACCCTTGAGTGATAAGACATACTGAAAGATGGGTATACGACAGGCCTCAAATTAAGGATACTCTCAAGGTTTTAGAAAAATTTTTTACCGACTTTTCATTTTCAACTTTATTCGATGGCTAACACTATGTGCCACCTGTGTACATGCTCATTTCTCCATATATAGGTACATGTGAACTGTCAGAGCGTTTTGATTGCCCGCGTACATGTTTAGTGAGCCGCGGCTGACGTCATGATGACGTCAGAGACATGATACAACCAGGGTTACAATATATTCACGCCAGCCAGTATCCATCAACATCAACCCTGCTACAGCTGTACTATACTACCCTGATCCAACAAGTATAACACAAGAGCTTAAAATAGTTCTCTGCACACCTCGCAACACACCTTACATAAGGCGCACGTTTGTTGACAGTGACGTCAAGCAATAGGCGGGTTCGCGCCATTTTGCATGAAATTGCGTTTGTCACCTCGTAATTTCTCAGAATTTCTCAAGGTGCATGGAACATTTTACCAATTTAATGGTGTCAGTTAGTCATGGATATGTCGCAGTAAGTACTAACATTAGATATTTCACATACGTTCACCCATTTTTCACACAGGCGGTCAATCATTGTGAAAAATAGAAAAACGCTGATTTCTCCGTTCCAATTTCTAACTTTGTAGTCGATGTATAAATGGATATTTCTCTGTGATTACTCGGAATAATTTAATTTTACACTCGTTTTAATGGTAACATATTGCTGTAAATAAGTAATTAATTCGATTCATTTGTCAATAAACGTTTAATCTTCATTAGAGCAATACCCGTGCAAAAGGTGGAGAGTATCCTTAATATTTTTTTTCGGGGGCTCTTTTTCCCAACCCCCCAATAAAAAGAGGCTCTTTTTGTGCTTCTGGGGGCTACTTTTTGTCACATAAAATTACATAAATTTAGAGTTAGTAGTTTGTATCCTGCCCCTCAATAACTGTAATACATATGTGCATAGCACTGTTTAATGTTCCTTTACTCTCTAAAACTGAATGTAAATTGATGTGTAGTATTTTTACATTTATTTGTGTTATTTTTGTTTGTTTGTTTTTGAGCTAATTTGGAGTGATGGATTGCAAAGGTGTTTGTGAATTGTGAGTCCTGACTCCTGAGTGACTACAGCCCAATACGTATTGGGCTGTAGTATGTATGCCTGTGAAACACTGTCTATTACGAATAGCGCAAATAGTGGAGTGTCTTACGATCCAAGGAGGATCGATGTTTACCACTGTGACAGTGCACACTGCAGCTGCATGCATATGCATGGGTTTGGGATGAGGTCCCTGATTAGGGGGGTGCGGTGCCCTCCCCCAGATTTTGTATGTTAAAATTACACCTCTTAGTCTTAGATGCAATTTCCTGCATCGTGAGGCAGCATTATTAAACAATCTTCATTACAAAAATATCCCTTTTGAGTTGAGTATTTTAATCTTTGGGGACACCAAGGCAAAGTACTGTGATTAATAAGTTAATCTATCTGCCAACTGAATAGCTAACACGTATAGGCCTCGACGCTTAATTATTTTCGGATCTGTCAAAAATTTTCTTGCAATCTAATTAAGGTCTACTTTTGGTTCAGTGCATATTATATTACCAGGAGTGTATAAAGGGGCGCTTATGTCGGGCTTGCGAGCCGACTCGACTGGAAGCAACTGGCTGCAATTCACTGTGACTGCAGTGCTTAGGTCGGTCGACTGCAACGTGACTGCCTGCGACTGGCCGCCACTACACCTGCACTAGTTGCTCGGAATAGAACAGTGGGCAACTGGACGGAACTAGTCGCTGCCGATCGCTTCCAGTTGCTCGAAATCCAGTTGCTTCCAGTCGAGTCGGCTCACAAGCCCGACATAAGCCACGCTTAATATAGAGATCTATACTATATAGATAGATATATAAATATATAGAGATAGATAGATAGATAGATAGATAGATAGATAGATAGATAGATAGATAGGTATATATATATATATATATATATATAGATAGATATATATATATTATATATAGAGATATATATCGATATTATACAGTCCTGATCTTACAATATATACATGGAAAATCGTAATGAAATTCACACGTTTATTATTGCGTGCCGGCATGCTCATTGTGTGTCATTCCTGATTGCAGCTTTTTCCTCAATTCCAGGAAAGAATTTTGCTGTCGTCCTCTGATCCCAGCAGTGCCCACCCCCCTATAAAGAACGTGCCCCACGCGACTTTTAAACAATCAACCCCCCCCCCCCCCCCGTACATCAATCTATATGCCGCCCCAGACACGTACGTATACACAGTCACATTGGCGAGCGGGCGAGTGCCAAGCTCGTTCGCTGAACACACGCCATGTTTGCAGTTGATCGTGACTTTTTTTCCTTCCTGTGAAGGACAGCAACTCGGCAATTCATTTTCCGATTTGAAAGTTGTAAAAGGAAAACTAAACTCACGGCCGTCACTGTCACATCATAATGTTACAATCACGGAAAAATATTACTGGGGCGATTTTGTATCCTCTTCAAACAAAAATCGCACTCGTAATTTTTTTTTGGGGGGCGACTTTTAAGATTCCCGGGCGATTCGTCCTTTGCCCTCCCGTGTATTTTGAGGCCTGTTATAGGAGTGTGGGTGTGTGTACGTGGGCATGCGTGATTATATAACCGGAGTAACCCTATGGTTTACCCTACAAATATCTGAGCACTTACCCAAAGAAGTCGCTGAGGAATGTTCTGTAGACTAATGGAGTAAAGACTGTGAAGTAGATGTATGTTGTCAAATCTACAATACTGGGAAAAAAACACGTTATTTTTAGTATGAGGTACTTTCCTATCAAGCATCGCTTGATTAAGAACTGGTTGGTTGTTAAATTGGTTAAGAACTGCTGTTCTAGTGTGCGGTGGCCTTTAAGTCATGCACGGTTGTCGCAACTCACCACATTCCTGGTTGAACTTTGTAGAAGAGCATCCCACTACCAACTGCCTGTACTAGATTGAGAAATGCCAGGAACAAGCAGTACAAGTAGAATGACTTCTTAGCTGTAACAAAATAACAGAGCACATTTAAATATCCGTCTATGCATGTTTATCGAGGTCTAGACAGATGTGTGGCCCACTTATGTATCATCACAGAAAAATGTGGATGCATCCCTGCAATGCATTTTCCACTTTTGACTACATACTTTCTACAATGCATAAAATAAAACAATAGTACTCATAATTTCCTGTTAATTCACTTGACTTAGTGAATAGTACAGTATGAACTTGTACAGTATATGCTGACTTTTTTATTATAAATTTTTCCTTCCTGTTGTATAGCACTGTTTTGTACTGTATCACTCAGAAATTTTATTATTTTAACTGTTGAACACTATTGCATTTATCAGACTTTTTCTATATGAAAAAGACTGTCTTCAGTACATGTACTTGTATTTGAATTACATGCAATAAAGATTTAATAATAATAATAATGACAATAAATTGCCCACTTGTAGTTTATATACTTACTCGGTAGAGCAAGTCTGTATGAGACTGGTGTCCATGGCAGTAAGTCTATCACAGAGTAAATCTACAAGTAAAAAATCCATGCAGTCCTAAATGTCAAATATCATGGTTGTATATATATAGTACAGAGTGGTTAGTAGAATAAGTAGAACTACTGCTAAATACATTTTTTTACCAATACACACGCATGTAAAAGCAGACAAAATCCACACCACTTACCACAGAGAAGAAAATTGAACTAATAAACCAAAACAGCATTCCTCCATGGCCAAACAGATCGTAGTTTTTTGCATCAATGTGGAAACTGTCATCTGGGTTGACAAACTCCAGCGCCCCCTGCGTGCCAGAATAGATGAGCGAGATTGTGGAGGTACAGATAAGCACACGGCGGATACTCGTCTTGCTGTCCAGATGACCAAATGCCATGCCAAATGTTACCACACTCATCTCAGTCGACAGCAAGAATAATCTGAGGATCAGCCACAAAACCTGCAACAAACGAGTTCCAAAACATTCAAGCTCAGATCACGTTTATATCAGAGCAAAGTGAACAAGAGCCGCAAAGCGTCTGGGCTCATCTGAGGTCTGTTGCTACGATTATATACGTAAAATTTCAGTCGTGCGTAGTACCACATTTGTTACGCGCAGATATGCAGACACGCAGTTGCGTACACATCATTGTTAGGACACGCCCACTATCGCAGATGGAGGGTAGGGGGAGGGGGTGG